TGCTGTGCCACAAGGAAGGCCTCATAGTGCGCGGGGGGTTTGGTTGCTTTTTCCATTGGATGCCCCCATCCCCACTGTCTCTCCCATCCCTGCCCTTCACTTACATGGAACCAAGGGCAGGGGCTGTGGAATACCCTGGCCAGTGCTAGGAACAGCTGTCTGACCCCATTGCCTTTCAACCCTTCGAAGGCTACGTCTACTGCTGTGCCACAAGGAAGGCCTCATAGTGCGCGGGGGGTTTGGTTGCTTTTTCCATTGGATGCCCCCATCCCCACTGTCTCTCCCATCCCTGCCCTTCACTTACATGGAACCAAGGGCAGGGGCTGTGGAATACCCTGGCCAGTGCTAGGAACAGCTGTCTGACCCCATTGCCTTTCAACCCTTCGAAGGCTACGTCTACACTGGCGCGTTCTCACGCAAAAACTCTTCCAGAAGAGAGCGTCCACACGGGCATGTGCTTTTGCGCAGGAGCATCCGTGCCAGTGTGGACGCTCTCGTGCAAGACATTCATGTTGCCTGTCTACACTGGCCTCTTGTGCAAGAACAGTTGCACCAAAGGGCTTATTCCTGAGCGGGAGCGTCAGAGTTCTGGCGCAAGACGCCAGTGTAGACGCTCCCTTGCACAAGAAAGCTCTGATGCCCATTTTAACCATAGGGCTTTCTCACGCAAGAAATCCATGTTGCCTGTCTACACTGGCCTCTTGCGCAAGAACAGTTGCTCAGGAGAGCTTATTCCTGAGCAGGAGCGTCAAAGTTCTTGCGCAAGAAGCCCTGATTTCACACAGTAGAACGTCCGTTTACTTGCGCAATGTGACAGGGCGTTTGCCCTGCACTGGCCCTTTAAGGGCAAACCCCAGCCTGGAGCAGGGCCGGAGAGTTTAGCCCCAGCTGAGGCTGCATTAGTGGATTAGGGCCCAGCTGGGAGCTATATAAGAGCAGGGGCGGCTGCTCCCAGGGAGGGCAGTGAGAGCCTGGCTGCTGAGGGAGTAGGAGGCTCCCTGGAGCTAGGGCAGGGCTGGGGAGTCAAGGCTGGGCTAGGGGAGCTCTGGCCAAGCAAACCCCCCGACCATGGCTGCAGAGAGGGTAGCAGCCCAAAGGGAGCAGAGGTCAAGAGTGGGGTGAGGCAGCTGCCAGGGGCAACAGGCGGATGGGGGGAGAACCCCAGAAGCGTGTCCCCCGCAATTCTATTTTTGTACCGATCCTTTTTGTCGTGCCATAAACCCCCTGCCAGGGTGTCTTTCGATTCAGGGTCTTTCTCTTGGGGCCAGCGCTGCTCGCCCGCCTGCCGCCCGGCCGTGCCCTGGCCCCACACACGAATGTATATATTTTGTACCAAAAATGCTCTCTTCACTGTAAATTTATTTTTTAAAAGAAAACTGCAGAGACGGGTGTGCGACGGTGCTTTCTCGAGCGACGTGGGCTGGGAGGGCAAGGCGCGCCGTGCAGTGGGGCGGAGAATAGCAACAAAGGGGGCACTGTCTGCGGAGGGGCATGGCCAGTGCCTGGACCCGCGTGGGCACTAGGCAAACACAGTCGGCTGAATCCAGCTGGCCCCTTCTCCTTGGGTGCCGCTCGTCACACGCTGGGAGAGAGAGCTGGGTTCTGAACGGGAGAGTTCCACGAGACCCCCTTCAACTCGAAGGTCCCTTAATGGGCACTAGGGTGACCGTCTTTCCCAAAGAGAAAACAACCCCCCTCCCCGAGCTGCTTGGCCCCTGCCCTGCTGTAGCCAGTCGCTGGAATCCTGGGGGTCCCACATGCTGGAACGCTGCTCTCCCCCGGTCCTGCCTCCCCTTGGCATTTCCACTCCTCCTCCCCGTTTTTTTTTAAACCAAAGGGGGCAGTTCTGTTTGCTCCTGCCAAGTGATCAAGTCAGCAAGAGCCATGGGGCCAAATGCTTCTGTTTGGGGAAAAAAGGCAGGACAGAGCTGAAGGAGGAGAATCCTGGGGGTCCCACATGCTGGAACGCTGCTCTCCCCCGGTCCTGCCTCCCCTTGGCATTTCCACTCCTCCTCCCCGTTTTTTTTTAAACCAAAGGGGGCAGTTCTGTTTGCTCCTGCCAAGTGATCAAGTCAGCAAGAGCCATGGGGCCAAATGCTTCTGTTTGGGGAAAAAAGGCAGGACAGAGCTGAAGGAGGAGGCTGTCCCAGCCAAAGCAGGCTGCACGGTCACCCCCATCCATGCGAGTGCGTCTCATGAGAGGGGCGGTGACCTTAGGGGCTGGGCACACCTAGGTCGGGCCCCCC